AAAATGAGAAACCGAAGTGAATTGGAGCCAGAGTCGATGGAGCCGGAAGTGCCCCCATGCTCACTTCCTATTGGCAACCATTTATAAATACAGTCTATGTTTATGCCTAAGTGGATTAAGTGCAAGTTATATTTTTAGATTTAACGCCATTCTGTGAAACATTCCAGTCAAAACTATAAAATCTACATGGAGATAAGCAGACAGCAAACCAGAAAAGTTACACGGTGCATCTTTAACATACTTGAACTCTGCTTATCAGAGTGTGTGTTTATTACTGTCATATCTCCGGCTCTGTGGCTCCGCTCCAGTGACAGTCAGTCAAAACCAGTCCTGCTTCTCTTCTTCTCTTTAACAGATAACTTTCTCAGAACAGCTTCGATGAAACAGTGAATGTGACATGACTAAACAGGTGAGAGGACAGGTGAGACGACAGGTGACGACAGGTAAGGTGAGACGGAGTTGAGGACAGGTAAAGTCTTGTCATTCTTATTATACATGCAAATATATTTACAATGAGAAGACTTCAAAAGTGCTCACCTCAGAATAAGGTCAAGGGTTTAAAGAAGTGTGTAAACAGGTTTTGTGTCATTTTAAAGAGGCATTATGCAACTTTTCTGCTGGGGGATCTGTCTCCATGGAGATGTTATTTTTGGAGTGGGTAGATCTGGCTCGTAATTTGTTGCCGTTACCTTTGTCTCCAAGGAGATACGTACATTTTAAAGGGCCCATCTCATGCAAAATAACTCTTTTCACATTGTATCTTCTGCACATAAACAAGCACAATTTGGGTTTTGGAACATCCATTACACAATATTTATGAAATTTATGATTTCTTGGAGCCCATCTCAATGAGGGAGGGGAAGGCAGAAGGTATAATTGGGCAAACTTGAATCCTATAATAATGTTAGATCAAATTAGGTCGTCATAATGTGTACAGGCGACTACTAAACATCAGTGGTCGTAATGACTGAGGTGTGAGGTGTAATCGCTATTTTGTTCTCGTGCAGAAGCATTGAAGACATCTCACTAGAATAAAAGTCTGTTGTTAGTATCAATGTAATATCGTAGGACTACATAACGTTTGTCAAACTAAAACAGGTATAACAAAGGAGATGACATGCAGATTGAAATTATATGTCGGATAATGCTCTTAAAAAATAAACACTGCAGCTTGCTTTTAGTTCTCTTCAGTGGTTTACTAGCGGTAAACTTACAGCTCTAGGATCAACATCACTGGACCCTGGTATCATGGGAACAGCATCCTTCTCCAAAGTGTCGCTTCTGCTTCGTTGTAAGTCCAGTTTTAAAATACCCGTAGTTCTCGAAGCAGTTCTCTGTGAGGTGTCGCTCGCAAACAAAAATATTCTTGGGGACCTTTTGTCTGTGTTCCCAGAAATAAACTCCAGTCACTTGCCTTGCTTCTTCTGTCGGCATGCTAAATAATTTCAACTTGCCATCGCAGCCAAATCTGCACTTTCTCCACTCACACACCGTCCTGCGTCTGCACCGTACAGGTTCTGTGTTATTTATCTTTATTTTTTGCTTCAAACACACTTTTTGTAACCATGTCCTCGTGGAGAAAGTGCGAATTTGGCTTCGTTGTAATTCCAGTTTTAGGACATGGTTACAAAAAGTGTGTTTGAAGCAAAAAATAAAGATAAATAACACAGAACCTGTACGGTGCAGACGCAGGACGGTGTGTGAGTGGGTGGAGGTGGGCGGAGGCGGTGGAGCAGGTGCGAAGCGTTTTCTGCTTCGTCAAACGCGTCATAGATGTATCTGCCGCGTCATCGTTGTTGCAGCTTTAATTCGTTGTCACGTGGGAGGGTGGCAGAAATACGCTGCAATTTGTTAAAAAAACGCAGAATCAATCTAAAAACCACTTCAGCGACATATACAAGGCCCACACATCACTCTTAGAAGGTAGAAAGCTCTGAAAAGTTGATTTTGCATGAGATGGGCCCTTTAATAATTGATACTTTGCAGCTGATACTAACTGTAGGCACTGCTCTGTCTGCGGCTTTGTTAGACTTTAATCTGAGCTTTATTTGAACACAATCTGACCAGAAAGAACTGCCAAAGTGCACCATCGGCTCCTCCAGCGACCTCAAATCGCTCACACACGCGCTACATTCGCAGGCAATGTGGGTGAAGTGTCTTGCCTAAGGACACAACAACAGTTTTAGACACCGACGCCCCACTGTGACGCTTGGAATTCCCAGCGGTCATCGAAGCAATAACCAAGCCCAGCCTAGATTTGATAAGGAGGTTTTTTTTAACAAGATTTAAAATTCCCTCCCTATCACTCCCCGTCTAATCTCCTCTCTCCTGAGTCTCTCACCTCTCACACTTTCTCTCCTCCCTCCCTCTCGCTCGTATGAGTTCTATCACTTTTGCTGTGAACGCTGCAGCTGGAGCAGAGTCAGAGGAATGTAAACAGACCAGACCCACCTGTGCTCGCAACAACAACTTTATACCGACATCAACTTTAACACACAATTAAACACAACAAGTTTACAGAGACACAAACTGCACTTCAATTCAGAGTTGGAAAGAAACTACAAAAACACAAGAAGAGCTGTTTAAAGGTGCCCTATGTTGCTTCTCTGGTAGGAGGTACTGCGGCCCCATTCTCGTCTCCATGGAGGGGTCATGTTTTACCTAGAATGGACCACAGCAGAACCTTAAGAACATGGTTTTGTTCAATTACAGGTGTTATTATTGCCAAAAACTGTATGTATTCTCACTGTGAGCTGCGTCGCCTCTCCGCAGATAAGACCTGGAAGTTTATTGACATACTGTAGACTAGACTTTGGTAATGAGATCATCACAGCTGCCCTGGGGAAACCCTGCACAACAAGATGGATTCTCATGATATCTGAGAGCTCACAAACTCACGAGAATCCATCCTGGAGTGCACCCGCTGAAAGGAGAATTGGGTGGATGGATGCACGTGTTGAAGTTTGTACAGAAGCCAAAGGCGAAACACCCAAGCAAACCAAAACAAACACGGTGACGCAAGAGACGTACTTCAGACTATTTCAGAAAGTGCAGAAGGTAAGAGCTTTGTGCATTTGTGGACAGGGAATATGCCTGTGCTTTTCTCTCAGCTGGATGTATCAAAAGTTTGATTTTTGACTTGTTCTGCTGTTGTGACACTTCGACCAATCAGATTCAAACAGTCGTCATGACACTCTGTATTTTCTGAGCCATTCCAGATTGATAAAGTGTAGAAGTCAATTCAGAGACCCATATCTCAGTCTAGTGCACTCTGGTGTAGACCTGGTTGTGTCTCTGGTCTCTGTCAATTAAACATAACACACTGTGTGTCACTATGCAAACCCAGAGAAACTATGGTAGTACAAACAGGAGCGTGTATGTAACAGGGACATCAGCTATTTTGAGTAAAACAATGCACTGCACAACCCAACATTTTACTACGTGACATTCTGTGGTAGCTTAGCGTTTAAACTTGAAGTTCCTGCTTTTACTACTCGTTTCAACCAAAGACATTTATACATCTAAATATGTCTATGAGTTCAGTGCTAACGTCAATGTACAACTCTTACTTTGACATAAAAGTTAGACCGGACGTTGACAGTTTCTTGAGGAAGGAGAAGAAGAAAACAGGAGGCGTTCCCGTTTAGGAAAGAAACACCCATTTATGTTCCACAAATCCGTGTATGATTCGTGCAAGTCGTTTTTCAATATAAAACCAAAAATAAGAAAACAAAATCACAACTGTTTTCTTCCTAATTTGTCTCCAAAACCAAAATGAAAAAACTGATAATATTTTGTTTTTTCATTTTTTGATTTTTATGTTTAAATGAATAATGGCTTAAACTGCAATGCTGGACTGAACCAGGACTCAACCAGGTCTGGGACCAGACCAGAACCAGACCGTGACTGAGACCAGGGCTTAAACCAGGACCAAACCAGGAGTGAGTACAGGACCAGACCGGGACCAGAACTACAACTGAGACCCGGACTGAGACCAGGAACAGGACCAAGACTGAGAACAGGACTGAGGCTGGACCAGACCAGAACCAGTCCGTGATTGAGACCGGGACTGAGACTGGGACCAGACCGTGACTGAAAATGGTTTAGTCCTGATTTAGTCCTGTTTTAGTCCTAATTCAGTCTTGGTTCAGTCCCTCATTGCAGTTTAAGTCCCCGAAACAGGAAACAGTCCATTATCCGTATTTTCCATTATTGATTTAAACACAAAATCAAAAAATGAAAAAACAAATCATTATCTGTTTTTTCATTTTGGTTTTGGAGACAAATAATGAAGAAAGCAGTTGGTGTTTTTTTGTTTGTTTTCTTATTTTTGGTTTTATATTGAGCAACGAATGAACGAATGATACACAGATTTCCGCCGACTGATGATATTTTAAGTCCTTACCTCACCTGGCCCTTTCTCTTTCCCTTCACCTGTCTTTTGTTCAGGCTCACTTTCAGATGCAGTAATGTAGATAGCATCTAGTGGTGATATGGGGGAATACATCAGTCTAATCACAAATAGGGACTGGCTCAGCTTAGTGCAACATCAATCCAATTCAGTTCTGACTGCTGAACAAAGAGATAAAAGTAATAAATAAAACATGGTCAACTTGAACAAAATTGTTTCGTTTGACTGAACATGCATTAATGACTCTTAACCTCTATAAACTTGTAGTGTTGGCTGGTGGATGTCACAATAACAATGGCTTAAAATGACTTGTCCCGACTGCACTGTAAAACCTCGCATTCTCCTGCCCTGGGCGCGGATCCGTGCCATTGGAAAGAATGTAGTGATGTTCTGTTCTTTTCCCCGTGTCTCCCTCTCCTCCTCTTCCTCCTCCTCCTACCCGCTCACCTCCACTCCCTCTCTCCCTCTCTCCTGCTCTTCTTCCCTCTCTCTCTCTCCCTCTCTCTGTTTACACTGCGGTGCTTCCCTGCGGCTACGTATTCCCCCACACCGGCTTTCCATGCGCCTTTTACGCCCACTTTTCCCCGAACACACCGCTCCCTGTACCCGGTCCAAACAACCTCATCACCCCCGACCTTCACTGCTCTCACACCGGTTCACTCTCCCAAAGCTCCCGGGTCTAGCGCGCTGCTCTAACCCGAGTTTCGCTTCCTGATTCCCGGCTGACAGAAGAGGAGTTGCCGGTGCCTCCCACTTCGCTCCGAGCGCTTATCCCGTCTCTTGTCGCCGTGTTTCTCCGCACTAAGCACCGTGGACGGGCAGTATGACAGGAGGGCTCAAAGATTCTGAACCCGAGGTAAATTTCAGCGCTCTTAAACCACTTTCCCCCACTTCTCTTTGCACTTTTTTCTTTCTCTCCGCTGTGGCACGCTTGTGAGGAATGTGTGAGCCCATTTAAAGCTGTTTAGAGAGTAGCTGTGAAATTGACCTGCAGGTTTACCAGCGTCTAATGACCGCTGAACTGTGCGCCTTTTACGCGTTGGAGAGATGGAGAGGTTTCGTGCGTAAAAGACGAGCGCGCACAAAACGCGTTCTGTTTGGCACGATTACACCCACTTATGGCGCACTTTATTTAATAGCAGCGTAGTCAGGGGAATATATTTACTTATTTAAACACAACGTTGGCTTTAAAGAGACAGGAACAGTTTTTTTTTTTAAATATTCGATTGGCTAAAAAAAAATACGTATTACGCTTTTACGCCTTTCCGATACATTGTCCAATCAGAGCACTGTATTACTATTATTTTCACTTTGAGTTGCCTTATATTATAGTGTAAGCAATACGATATAGGATTAATGTTAAAAAGACCCAGATTATATAGCAAATTAAAGGGTAACTGCACCGGCACACAGTTCTTGTTTTTAGTTATTTCCGAACTCTAATTACGCTTTCCAAATGAAACACTGATTATATTTTGGAGATGTTATCCTTATTTATCGTGTACTTTTTGGGACAGTGGCAGTTGACGTTTACTTCCCAGACTCCCTTGGGATAATGCCAGTTTTAGTTCATGGAAACCCGAACTTTCCTATGCTCTCATATAGTCCTCCATTCAGTCATTGGCTTTGGTTAATGTAATGAATTCACATGCAAAACACACGCAAATATAAAATGACACACGAAGGAACATGATTTTACTACAAGCAGCATTTGGCGTTTAACGAATAGGGTACATGTAAATAAGGTATTATTGCTTTCTTGGGATGTTCTGCAGTGTGGCATTAAAACTTAAAGCTCCTGTATTATCCAAAACTGACTCTTGTGAGCTTTGAACCATGTTATAATGTTGTTACCGCTTCCAAAACATACCTGGAGTCGCACATGTTTGAGTAATTTTATTAGTCCAAAGCTCAAAATGCTCTGGTCCAACTTGTGATGTCATGAAGTGGTCACTTTAAAGTTACGGTAACATTTTAACATTAGTTTGGGCAAGTCCAGGTCTCAAATCATCCAAATGACCGAAGCGAAATTAAAAAAAGAAATGAAGGTGTATGCAGTTTCAAAACACAGTGGAGCACTTCCTGTGTGACATCACAAAATGGAACAGTGTTTTTTTAGTCTATTCTTGAGAGAAAAACTCTAAAGCCAAAATATTTTCTGTAAATAAAACAAAACACAACTCCAGGTGATGAAGAAACATTATAACAGATAAACTCTTTTGCATTTATTTAATTACATGTATTTTTACTGATCAAGAATACACGCATACATGCACTTTGAGTGGGCTCGCCTCTCCACAGAGCTAATCTGTATAACCTGCTTGGTGTAACGTGCTTGTCGCCATGGTGACAAGTTTAATGCCACACTGAGGAACATGCAAAACAAGGCAATAACATCTTAGAAGCAGTGTACTGAAGTTACACAACGCAACTTTAATATTTGGTCACTTTTTTTTTTTTAAGTTACCTGCAACTGTGCGTCAGATGCCCTCCCATCCTCCTGTCCTAGATGGGGGCATCGTAAATGTCTCTAGTTAATCTGCAAATGTTGTTAACAATTTATATTTTTAGAAATTCATCGAAAATCAGACACTAACTAATGATGATTTGATTATTTAATGTCTAAATTTGTAGTTAAAGGTGCACTGTGGAACTTTTTGGGGGTCCGCTACTATGGAGACGCCATTGCTTATGTTCACAGTATGATATTAAACTTATATAAGATGCATTTATTTGATTATGGGTGTTTTCGTTGCTAAAAATGCCATTAGAAACATGTATTCTGACTGTGAGTGGAGTCGCCTCTTCACAGATCATACCTGTAACTTGCTCTAGTGGCTTGTTTCTATGGAGATACTTTGGAAAACTGGAGGTATTCATGGAGATAAGTAACTGGCAGGTTCTTTACCAGAAAAAAGTTGCACTTCGCACCTTTAATTATGCAAAAAAACATGTTTAAAAATGAAAAATAAAGTACAAAAAAATAAACTTTGAACGCACAAAATGACCATAACTCAGATGCAGGCTTGTGAAGGGTTAAACAGCACATACACACAGACTGACTGTAGTTTTCCATCGTCAGGTATTGTGGTGATGTCATGCATTCTTCTTGTTGCCTGGTTTCGGAAACTGACTGTAAAAAATGCGCAAGAGGAGCCACATTCTTAGTTTTAGTGTTGTTTCAGTGAATACTAAAACAAACCTTTATTTGAAACCTGATTTACGGGGCCATAGTTTTGCTAAGGGACATTTGCGTAACCATGGATACGCTCAGGATTCTAAGATTGGTTTTACTTTTATTTTAAAGGCGCCGTACCTGATTTTTACTCTTTGAAAAATGTGAAAAACAGAATTCGTTCAATGTAAACTGTTTGCAGAGGTCTAAAGTTATTCCTCAGAGCATTATTCACGGTGATGATTTTACAAGCGCTTTTCACAACTCTCAGAAACCAAAGCTAACGAAAACTAGAATGCTAACATGCACTTCCTGATTCTCGGATGATAAAATGCTTTCTAATTTTTGTCAAATACATGGGGGAAAAAAATCTGACACAGGGACAATGCTGTTAACAAACTCTCCAGTGTGAAATGTTTATATCCCCATTTTGTATCAATAAATATAGAATGCAAAATTAAAATATATGCATAATAAAAACTGTCAAAATACTAAATACTAACATGTTATATCAGTAAGTGACATTGGTATTATAAAGTGACTACTACTTCTGTTTTAATCCTGATTTAATCCTGGTTTAGTCCTGGTTTAACTTTGGTATAGTCCTGGTTTAGTCTTGGTATAGTCCTGGTTTAGTCTTGGTTTAGTGCTGGTTTATTCTTGGTTTAGTCCTGGTTTTGTCTTGGTTTAGTCCTAGTTTAGTCTTGGTATAGTCCTGGTTTAGTCTTGGTATAGTCCTGGTTTAGTCTTGGTTTAGTATAGTCCTGGTTTAGTCTTGGGATAGTCCTGGTTTAGTCTTGTTTTAGGCATGGTTTAATCTTGGTTTAGTTTTGGTATAGTCCTGGTTTAGTCTTGGGATAATCCTGGTTTAGTCTTGGTGTAGTCCTGGTATAGTCCTGGTTTAATCCTGGTTTAGTCTTGGGATAGTCCTGGTCCAGTTCAGATTTTGTATAGTCCTGGTCATAGACTGTATAAAGAAGTGGACTAAGGCAGTGTGATGTCACCTGTAGTGTATTTGGGTGTCTTGTGTCCCAGTACAGATACTATATATTGTATAAGCAGCTCTTGAGGTCAAAGTAAGTTTGCTGTACTGTCTGCTCCGATTCACAAAGCGTATTATTGTTTGTTAATCAGGAAGTGTGTGTTAGCACGCTAGTTGTTGTAAGCTTTACCATTTCTTGCAAAACTGTGCTCTGATGTTTGAAAGTTGTGCAAAGTGCTTATAAACTCATCGTGGTGAATAATTAGGATGCATAAATATAAGAGAGGAATAACTTTACCTCATCAAAAACAGACCTGGAGTTGTGCTTTTTTTTGTTTTATTCACATATTCGAGTAACCCTTTATTATTCTGCCTATGTCTGTCTACATCTCCAAAGCTCAAAATGCTCTGCTCCACCTTGTGATGTCATGTAGTGGTAGTTTTCAGCTCCTTTTACCTTTGGTTCAGTAGAGATTGGCAATGCGAAACCTAAAATCATCCGAATGATTCTAGTGTGTGGAGTTTAAAAACACAGTGGAGCACTTCCTGTATTACCACATGACATCACAAGGTGGAACTGGCTGTTTTCTATTTTAGAGAAGAACTCAGAAAGATGCAGGGTTTGTGTGTTAAATGTGTGAAAGAAATAAAACACAATTCCAGGTCTGTTTGTGATGAGGAAACAGTTTTATAACATAGATCAAAAAATATAATAGTAATCTAGGCCCTTTAAGACAGATAAAGCATTTTTATTGAGCGTAAATGATCTTAGCTCCTCCCTCAGGTTGCGACTGTGACCGGGCATGTTCACAGTAACATTACACAGAGAGATGGAACTCAGGCTCTGGCACAGGATGTCTACAGCTCCTTTTAAAGTTCAGTTCTGACTTGTCCTCCATTAGACACAAAAATACTCACATGAACAAGTGTGGAAGAGAGCCATGCTGTAACTACGGCAACACTGACAGTAAACGCCTCAAGTAAAAAAAGCTGCACGGTGTGAGTTTTGCGTCAGAGGGTCCACTACCGCTACCTGCTTGTTTCCATGGAGATGTTATTGCCTGGAATGTTCCACAATGCATTCAATTGCACAATTAAAGCTCCTATGATACGCAAAATTGACTCTTGTGAGCTTTTAAGCCATGTTATTATGTTTTTACTTTACTGAAAACATCCCTGCAGTCGTGTTTTGTTACATTCTCATATGTTTGAGTAATCCTGGATTATCAGGCTGTCTGCATCTCCAAAGATCAAAATGGTCCGTTCTACCTTGTGATGTCATGAAGCTGTAGTTTCCAACTTAACAGCTACATTTTAGATTTAGTTGAGTAGAGATCAGCGATTCCAGGGCTGAAATCATCCAAATGATACTAGTGAAGGTGTGTGGAGTTTAAAAACACACACTGGAGCACTTTCTGTATAACCAAATGATGACATCACAAGGTGGAACTAAGTGCTTACTGTTTGAGACAAGAATTTCACCAAAATATCCAGAGTTTGTGAGTTACACATGTGTGAATGAAACAAAACACAACTCCAGGACTGTTTGTGATGAGGAAACATTATAACAAAGATCAGAAAATAGTGTAATATGAGCCCTTTATGATCCGAATGAGAATTTAACAATCAAAGCAACTGCAGTTGAATATAAGATAGAAGTTTAGACATGTCATGGAGACAAGCAGTTAGCAGACCCTCCTCCAAAAAAGTTACATAGTGCACCTTTACTTGAATTTTGAAAGCTGCAGAGTTCCAATCTTTTTACATTTATTAAAGAGAAAACTGGATAGCAATTTGAGAAAGTATTGATACTGAAAAAGTCCATTCGCAGGACAGAAATGAACCTTTCCTGAATAATTTTAGAATAGACTAGTATACATAGACTAGTATAAGCCCATGGACCACTATGGAACCTATTGGACCTTTGAGGAATTACACAGATATAATGCCACATAGGAATAGAAAAGAAAGTACTATGATTTAATGTTAAAAAATGCCATTCTATTGTCTAAAAGAAAGAGTGTTTTGTATCATCACAGTGGTATCGTAATTGGTATTGAGTCTATTCCTTAGTACGGAATCAAGTTTGAAATTTTAGTATCTTAACAACACTGAAATAAATTAATTTTAAAAAGTAATAGATCTAAATAATGACTGAATGAATGGGGAGTAAAAAGGTAACATGGATTCACAACCGCCACTATACTGAAGCCTGTATTTTTACGCACGTCTTGGCACTTTTACGCACTGCCTTCTCTCTGTTACCAAACTTCTGTGTGTTAAGTGTGTATAGTAAGTGTGTATGTGGTGACGCCCCCTGGTGGTGCATCTGAGGGCGTGTCTCCAAACCTGACCCATCCCTGCTCCTCCTCTGCGCTCGTGCTCTGTGCTTCTGTAACCGTTATGCACACTACCCCACGCGCTCGGGTCGGGTCCATCTCTCCCTCCTCTCTCTCTCCTCTCTGTCTCTCTCCTCTCGCTTCTCTCCTCTCCTCTGTTCTGACTCTCCTCTCGCGTGTGCGCACTTTCACAGGAGTTTCTGCATTCGCCGTTCATCAGAAAACAAGGAAATATTTACAAACCCAACAACAAGGACATGGACAACGAGAGTTTGAACGAGAAGACGATGGAGGACGTGCACACCAAAGAGATAGACCTGGTCAACCGGGATCCGAAGCACGTGAACGACGACGTGGTCAAGGTACGTAACGCCAACCTGTTACATTTCTGTGCGTAAAAGTTGATCCAAAATTACGACCGGTTTCATTTCTGTGCGTAAAAGTTGATTCAAAGCTAAGATCCTAAATCTTAATCCGTCTTTTGGTTGTCATGTCCCCCGTCCCACTTATTTTGAGAATTTTAAAAGTGGATCTTAAATGACAATTACAAGAAATCAAATAAATCAAAACTTTTGGATGTACTGGCGTTGGCACGTATTGCTGTTCCAATATTTCTGTGCGTAACGATTGATGAAAACAAAAGAAAACAAAAAACATGATGCTATTGTAGGTATCATCGCTGAACTTAAATTTCATGTCACAATAAAACGCGTGTTTTTCTCTTTGTACGATTTTCATGCTATCCAAAACACTTTTACGCAATGTCACAACGAAGTATTGTGCGTAACGGGGTTAGAAGAATTATCCACTTAATTGTTTTATTGCCTGGAGAGTGTTATTGTAAATGGAAGCGGGAGGGAGAGAGTGTGCGTGCGATTTGGAGCTGTCAGAGGGAGAGGGACGCGCGCTTGGCTAGCTTTGCCGTATTAGGAGAGGAGACAGAAGCGCGGAGAGGAGAGACGGGGGATTACGAGGATAGACGCGCTTTGAAGACGCTTTTGGAGCTGTTACTTGTAACCACTGAAATGCTTGTTAGTTAAAATAGTTTTGCTTTGTAAACTGCATAATCTTCGTCATATATCTGTACTTAAAGGTGCTCTATGTAACTTTTCTGGGTCTGCTACCTGCTTGTCTCCAGAGATGTCATCGCTTTGCTGCAGCTTTAAACGTATTGTGAATTTAAAGTGCCCATATTACACTATTTCTGTCTACGTTATAATGTTGTTTCCTCATCAAAAACATATCTGGAGTTGTGTTTTGTTTCATTCGCACATGTTTAACGCACAAACCCTGCATATTTAGGCTCCTTTACTTCTTCTCTCAAACGGAAAACTCACTGTTCCACCTTGTGACGTCATGTGGTAATACAGGAAGTGCCTCAGTGTATTTTTAAACACACCTTCACTAGAGTCATTTGGAGGATGGATTTAAACTCTTGAATTGCCAGTCTCTAGTGAACTAAATGCAAAAGGTTCAGCTGTTAACTTGAAAACTATTGCTTGGTGACATCACGAGGTGGAACAGAGCATTTTGAGCCAGGGTTACTCAAACATGTGTGAATGAAACAAAACACAACTCCAGGTATGTTTTTGAAGAAATAACACCATTATAACATGGATTAAAGCTCACAAGAGTCAATTTTGCGTAAGATAAGATCTTTAATCACTTACATAACAATCAGTTACATCTCAAACGGGCGTACCCTCCTCCAGAAAAATTACATAGTGCACCTTTAAATACCAAAAAAAGAGTCAGGACTGTGGAGATGCAAGCACAACCAAAATGTTCAAATCAATATATTTTTTAGCTAAAATGTTACACACAGTGGTTTTAACTCCAGTGTGTTTTCCCACTGGAGCTGTATAAAGTTGTATCTTGTTTTAAAATAGAACATTTAAAGTAACAGTGTTCATCATTTGAATGTCCTGATAAAACCATTGAAGGAGGTTTGATTTTAAGAGCATCAGGACACTGCATTCTTTGGGATTCCCCGTAGACCGCTCTCCTCCCGCCCGATTTAGACTTGGCATAAGACATCATGAGACTCATGTATTCCCTGGCTACACATGCCATATGTGTTTATTATGAGGATATGTGTTTATTATGAGGATATGTGTTTATTATGAGGATATGTGTTTATTATGGGGAAATCAGTGACTTTATCAGTGGTGACAGAGAGCCCAAATGTGCACTCATGTAAGGACAGAGTTACTTCAGAATAATATTAGTCAAGTGGAAGTACGGACTAGTGGAAATGACTCCAGTAAGAGTAAAAAGTATTTGGGAATAGTATTATTCGAGTAAGAGTAACTTAAAGAGTAACTGTCTGGGAGCAACTTCTGATTTATAATTCAGGTTAATGTAACTGGAATCCATATAGTACTCAAGTAAGAGTACTGTTACACTATACAATGCAATATATTACTTAAGTAGGAGTACTGTTGCACTGATATATTACTCAAGTAAAAGTACTGTTATATGTGCAATAGATTACTCAAGTAAGAGTACTGTTACACTGTACAATATATTACTCAAGTAAAAGTACTGCTACACTGTACAATATATTACTCAAGTAAAAGTTCTGTTACACCGTACAATATATATATATATATATATATATATATATATATATATATATATATATATATATATATATACATATATCAATTAAGAGTACTGTTACACTGTACAATAGATTGCTCAAGTAAAAGTACAGTTACATGTACAATAGTTTACTCATGTAGGAATACTGTTACACTCTAAAATGTATCACTCAAGTGTGAGGTCTGAAAACTACTCTGAGAAGTACAAGTTTACTATAAAGTTACTCAAGAATGTCACAACTGCAATCTTCATTTCATTTTTTAGTTTTTGATTTCGTTTAAAATTTCGGAACACTTTGCAGAGGCAGAAGTTTGTAAAAGTTACATTTAAGGGAAGTCAACGTGGAATCTGGGGAAGTGGCTTTGATTTGGCTCGTAAAAAGTCTATTTCTGTAGCGTTCTGGTTACAAAGAGGATGGCGAGGGTGACTCATTCAAACTCTGGTATTTGTGGAATAAATTGTTAGTGAAATACATGTGTGCTTTTGAAAAACTCCCAGAAAAATGTTGGATGTTTGAAGTGGGCCGTGCCAAGTGGTACCAGTCTCACGCCCGCACAGCCTCTTCACTTTCAGCAGGTGGATCCAATCGCTGTGTATTTATCCTCTAGTCTCTTGTATGATGGATTGGGTCCCAGATTCTTATGGTAGGCTCATTGCGGCAAGATTAAAGGTGGACTGTGAAACTTTTCTAGTGTGGGGTCTGCCAACTGCTTGTCTTCATGGAGATTTGCCTGGAATGTTCCAAAGTATGGTATTAAAAGGATCATATTACTCTATTTTCTGATCTGTTATAATGTTGCACTGCAAAAAATAAAATCCAGCCAAGTTAAAATGACTTGAATTAAGAAAGTTTTATCATGATTTAAGTAAATTTCACTTGACAAGTAAAAATTTTCTGACTTTTGTACTTAAAATATGAAAATACATCTTGCTAGACTTCAGATAAAAGCAACAACTCTGCACTTAAAATAAGAAAGAAAATGTAATATTGCTTGAATTAAGAAAAACACACTTGCTCCATTGGTAGATAATTTTACTTGACAAGTTGAATCTACTCAAATAATGTCAAATGTTCTTAATTTAAGTAACTTTAACTTACCTAGATGTTGTTTTTTACAGCGTGTGTTTCCTCGTCACAAATGTACCTGGAGTTGTGTTTTGCTTCATTCACACATTTAACGCACAAACCCTGCAGATTTAGGATGAGTTCTTCTCTCAAATGGAAAATATTTGTGATGTCATGTGTAATAATATAGGAAGGGTTCCACTGTGTTTTTTCAGGCTAAGTTCATATGATGACGCAAAAGTGGCGTCGCGTCTTCACTTTTTATTCAGTGTTTAGATGAGCTTTTTTGGGAAGAAATCTGCGCGCATACGGTGACGCAAAAGTGTGCGGAATTCGATTGGGTATGGGTATGGTGTACTGTATGTGACGTAAACGCGTACACAGCGTGAGCAGATCTGACCAGAGTTTTGCGTCTTGGGCAGTGTAGATGGAAACGCTACGGGGGAGAATCCAACTTTTCCACTCTGGAGGGTGGGTTCAGATTTTTGCGTTTTTAAGATCCAAATACAGCGTCACTGTCTAAACGAAAGGCACTTCCGATCAAATATTTTGTCGTTTTTACCCACAACAGACCCTAAACTACACACACCTTCATTAAAATCTGTAAGATTATTTCAGTCCTCGAATCGCTAAGTCTCTACTGAACTAAAAGTAAAAGGAGCTGTTAACTTGAAAACTACTTCTTCATGACATCACAAGGTGGTAAAGAGCATTTTGAACTTTGGAGGTGTAGACAGACAAATAATAAAGGGAAAATGAAACAAAACACAACTCCAGGTTTGTTTCTGATAAGGTAACAACATTCTAACATGGTTTAAAGCTCACAAGAATCAATTTTGCTCAATATAGGACCTTTAAACTTGTCTATCTTGCGTTTATTTACAATCACAATGGTCACATTTTTATAAACAGCGCTTTTCCATCGTCAAGTCACTCAAAGCTCTTTACATCAAGGAACCATTTACCAAATCTTATACACATTCATACTCCAGTGTCCGCAGACACTGGGGCGAGGTGGGTTAAGTTTCTTGCCCAAAGACAGAAGGACAGCATTCATCTGTGGGAGCTGGAATTGTACCGCCAACTTACGGGTCAGAGGATCAGACAGCTCTGGGTCGAGAGTGGGATTTGAACCACCGAACTTTGGATCAGTGGACATTCTACCAACTGAGCTACTGTCGCCTCACTCAAGAACACTTCTGATAAAAATAATAATAATAATAATAATAATGTAGGTGCTTGTTTCATCAATATCTCCATGGAGACAAGTAGGTGACAGACAGATTTCCCCACTAAAAATGTTGCTTGGTGCATCTTTAATAATGTGTGGACATTTAGAGACACTTCACCTGTACGTGTGTGTGTAGAGAGATTTTTCATTTTGTTTCAGACATTCTTTCCATGTTGCCTCAGAGCTTTTATTTATTGTGCTTGAGGCTCCAGGGCAGGGCATCTGACTCTGGGATGGGCTGAGGAGGGGAGGGGGGTCTGAGCGGGGAGCAGCTCAGAGAAAGGAGCAGAAAATTAGAAATATTTAAAGAAAACATATCGTGCTTGTGTCTGCTGTAGTTATAATCTGTGACACCCCTGGATCATTAGATTATAATTTGGACATTTTAAATCACAATATTCATCGAAAACAAAGTAATAAAAAATAAATAAAATCAGACTTCCATGTTAGAAAACTGCGAT